TCTCGTCGACTTGCTAACTAGTATGAGTACATGTTTAGATGATTTTTTCTTTCTATTTTCTGCTTGTATTAATCTATCTAATATGCTGTTTGTTAATTTCTTTTCATTTTTTGTTCGAAATTTGAATTAAAAAAAAAATGAAAATACATATAACATGACCATGATGACCAGAACAATTATATATTAATTTCAGTTTTACTGTCAACATTTTAAAAAGAAGAAAATCACTTATTCATAAAATCTGCAGACACATCATCTCAACTTAGATAATGATTTTTACGTATTTTAATGATACATGCATAAACACAAAAAAAAATCTAATCATACCTACTTCTAAATGTAAAATCCTTTATATTGTGATGACTGATGAGGGCAGGCAAAATAGGGTACCATTCTCTAGAATGAAGAAGAATAATAAATGATTAATTTATGTTATATGTTTTATGTTTAACTCACAATAGGTCATACATACAATGTACATGCAAGTGCTGAGTGAGCTTATTATACACAGTCAGGTCCAGTACAATCAGTACATTTAGCTACGTAGCTAAAATTACCTACCGTAGCTTTATTTACCTACCTCAGGTAGCTTTATTTAGCTATTTCAAGGCAACTTTTCACAATTTTGCTTATTATTTTAAAAAGACAAAAAGTCGCAAGGAAATGTCTACTAATATTTATTCAGCAATCTAAAGCAGAGATAGTTTTAACGTTGCTGCGTTTGATCACTTTTAAGGAAAATATGTATTCCCATTGTTTGAGTAACTGTACACACCTTGTGCACGATGAGGCGTGGATAAGTATGATTACTTCACATTGTGCTCATGTTAACCAAAACTGGTTTTCTTTGTTATTACACTCAAGAAGTAACTGTTAGGTCACAAATTAACTGTTGTATATAGCCCCAAAACTTTTAGATCTTTGATTGCAATTGCGCAAAAAAAGACACATCTCCAAGAGTGATTTTTTCATGAATTGTTTTCAGATGAGTTCAAAGTTAAAAATTATCACTGCATCAAAGTGCAATTTTCTGCTCTTTCTGGGAAAAATTCTTATTTAAAAAATAAGTTTGATTTAGTAGCTACATAAAGCTACTTCAGGTAGGTAAATAAAGCTATGTAGGTAATTCAAGCTACGTATCTAAATCTAGTGATTGTAGCAGACCTGACAGTAGCATAAGAAATGATCATGATGATTCTGCATTTAATTATTTTAAATTGCAATCAGATAAGAAAAAATATTTTTTTTACCACAGTAAGGAAATGATTATATAGCAATAACAAACTGAAAAAGGTGTAATACATCTGATCATGTGACAAAGTATTTGTAAATATTTAACCCCCCTACCTGTCCCCTTTCTGCACAACCTCTTTTTCCGCATCCGATTTCTGTGTATATTATAATAGAATAAAATTTTAATAGTTCAAGTCATTAAAACATTGCTTAAAGGGAGAGATATGTATAAACATGCACACATTTACAGTGTGTAGTATACTTACATGGTCTTGCACCAAACAACTGCGATTATGATCTGTTATAGTCCGCCGCTGACGGTTCAAGTGGAATTATCCAGACAAACAGAGCACATTTATCAGAGAAACATGTTATTGAATGTAACACAAGTAGGAATCGAGTTAATCATCCAAACATGCTGAAGAAATACGATCTTTTGATGTCCGATCTCTTCTTTGTTTACTTCTTCCGGTGATCGTTCACGGTTAGATCGTACGCCATATTACTCGAAGGTAATAGAATAAATGTGTGTTAAGAAAAAAAATGTTTATTTTCTTTTGTGATTTTATAAATATTTCTTTTGTAAACGTTCTATGTCCTTTTGCGTTTCTGTAATTTATTTTGAAATATGAATTAACTTTTACTCCAATCAGAAGGCTGTAGGATACAGGATAGGACAGGATAGGTTAGGATTGGACTAACTACTATATGTTTCTACCGTGAATCCTCAATCCTGAATCATAACCAATCCCATCCCATGTCAACTTGTGGGATAGCAGCACTGAACCAATATCTGTGAAAATAAGCTATTTTCTACTACTTCCTGTTCCTGTTTGGCCGGAAGTGACGTTATTCGACGCATTTTGATGATCTCGCAAGCTGCTACTTGTCATGTTGAACAACTTTGCTTCTTTGAAGTATTACAAATTCTAAATACTTTTTGAGATATCAGGAAAAGTATTTTGGCCCCTTTAGATTCCTTATTTTAGGGGCCAGCCCTTTTTTCGAGATATCATTTAAAAGATCTTATAATTCTGCACAAATTTTGTTATATATGTTTTAACAAAATATTTCCATGTAAAAAGATATCGTAGAAAAAGCGTTAGAAATTTTAAAATTCTTGATATGACTTTTTTCAGGCCATAGCGAGCGTCGACGTGTGGCACTTCCGGTGAAAGTTAACTACGTATTACAGATCTACATATATTGCTCTGTCTTCCCTAAAAGTTTCACGTTCCTGTGATGAGTGGTTTCTTAGAAAACCTGCGGACAAACTGACCCTCCAAAAGTCACTAAATCGCAAAAATCTTCGGACCGGAAGTGACGTCATCAAATTAAAAAAATAAGTATCAAGATTTTTTATTATTCTATCAGACCTGAAAGTTTCATGAAAATCGAGCGAACCGTTTTCGAGAAATTGCGTGCACAAAATCGGTAAGAAAAAAAATAAGAAGAAAAACAGTGGAAAAGAAACCGAAGAATAACAAGAAGGTCTTCTGCTGAAGACGGAAGACCTTAATAATAATAAAAATAGTGGAAAAGAAACCTAAGAATAACAAGAAGGTCTTCCGCTGAAGACGGAAGACCTTAATAATAGCTTTGTTAGTTACAATGACTATGCCTAGACAAGTGCATTTTATTTTTTGGATGAGAGTTGCATTTTTGATTGAAAAGTGTCTGTGTTCATCCATCTTTCTGTATGTTGTATGCCTCTTGCTATCTGAAAACTTTTCACATTTCAACTTATTTTTTATTGACAAAATTAACAATTTCTGCAAACACCTAAGAAAAAAAAATGAGTTTTTCTGATCGAGTTTGCCCACATTCTGTCAGTCCTTAAGTTCAACTGTTTGTTAACTTTCTATATGCCCATCTAAAAATAAGATGCATTATGGTATATGGAGTTCGTGTCCGTCCGTCTGTCTGTTTGCTTTTTTGTGTCCGGCTCATAACTCAAACACTATGAGACCTAGAATTATCAAACTGTGTCAGCTGATTAATCTTGGGTAAAAGATGTGTCCACATAAAAAGTAGGTCACTGAATTTTAATTAAGATGATATGGCCAGATATGTTAAAAATTCTGTCAAGCTCTTTACAGGAAAACCATTAGACCTAGAATCACAAAACTGTGTCCGTTTATGCAGTTAGCTTAGTTAGAAGTTACGTTGGATCCTACTTGAAGTCACTTTAACTTTTAATTAAGATGAAAAAAACTATATTTTTAGCTTTAAAGTTAAACAATCCAAACAGATGCAGAAACCACATTAAAAATGTTAAAGAAAGTACACATTTTTTCATGATATACTTTACTAAAATCGAATAACAAATATAACGTTCCTTTGTGTCAATAAGAGAAATTCTACTTGACCCATGGGTGTAATTATCAAACAAGTGGTCTAATGGTGTTTCAAAGATTACAGTCATTTGCAGTTCCTCAAAGCCTATTTTTTTAATTCATGGACTTTTAGAGGAAATTTTTTCCATAGGAAATGAAAGCACCAAGTCTCTACTTTATATTGATGTTTAAAATGGGACATTGGGACTTGGTCATTTAATTGGTATATGGAAAGGCCATTTTATGAATAAAGTGAACCTAGCTCTCTTGTACAAAGTATTTAAAATATTTGATATTGTATTTTTTCTTTATTTTTATATCTTAACAATAAATTTTGTCTCACATGGATGAAATTTTAACACTTGCCCGTGGGCAAGTGCTCGAGAAATTTAGCCCCTAAAGTCAATTAAAAGTTTCAAGACTGTAGTGGTAATCCAGGTTTGCTAAAATATAGTCATGGTGATAGGGTGAAGCCACAATAAATGATCAAAGTTTTGCATTAGAATATATATAAAAGATTTTACTTTCAAGTGCAAAAAGGTCAAATTCATTAAAACTAATATAAGTATGCAAAACTTTTCAAGAAATGCAGATTCAAGTTAGTTCAAAATATCCCCTTTCCGCCGGGTATGGTGGGACCATGAATGGGGTCGAAGTTTTTCATTGGAAGATAGAGTAGAAAATTATACGTCTTGTTCTTTGAACAAGAAATATTGAATAATGTTTCAAAATTTAAAAGTTGGATGTACAAAGCACGTACATTAGAAAAAGAAACATCATTGATAATTTAATGTAGATTTAGATATGTTCTTGAAAATTTTAAGCAATATTGTTGTTAGGTTGTCAACAATGAATTCGTCTGTGCTGATTTAATTTCATACGACAGTGTTGGATTTTGCAGTTAGTTTCAGCGTACATTAGTAATAATAAAAATTAAAATTGCTTTTAGATGTAGTAACTGAGGGAAAAAAACACACGCGTGTTTCAAATTCAAAGACAACAGATTTGTTTTGATGGCAACAAAACAACAAATCAAAATAACATTTAAATTATGGTCGGGTTTTGAAAAATTTTCATAATCTGTTGAAGATGTGGGTAAATGACTCTTAGAAAGGAAAACTAGCTGGGAATTGACAGACTGATAGGATCTGTACTTCCTGCGAAGTTTTAATAGAAGACAGTATAATTGATTATTTATTATATTTCTTTTATGATATTGACTAATAATTTTGGGACCATTCAGGAAATTATGATTATTAACCATTTTATGGCTTGTTCAAATGGTTCTCATGATTCAACTATCTTGAAGATGGAAAATTCTTATTTCTGTCTTTAAAAAACAAATACAAAAAATAAATCATATCAAAGCGTCTGTTGTAAATTAAATACAAACCTAAACTTGATAATCTCTCCTTTCTATTTATAAAACAGGATAGCCTGTCTGAGAGTGGAACCAATGAAGACACTGGAACAGATCCCTGTATGTATAACATATGAATCATTTATATCTGTATAGTACTGTACTAAACTGATTCATCAAAAGTCTTGGTAAAAAAGGAATAAAGGAAAACATACGTTGCAGCAAACAAGGTGCAGGTTGGCAGATTAGCAACTTGCCGTTTTGTAATGTGTGACCCAAAAGTGCAAAACTTTATAATAATCTAGCTATTTTAATCGATGAATTTTATCTTTAAAAATTGTGCATTTTAATCATCATGAAATGTACAAAATGTGAAAATTAGGAACAGTGATCCATCTCATAAATGCGAAATCTTTATGAAATCCTTGTGAGTCCTCACCCATTCACATGGGTCCATGGATCAAAACATCAGAGTGGGGTTGAGTTGGAAACTTGTGCAACTTATGCGTAGCTGCCATGTAAGACCATAAGCTTGACTTAAACATCAACTAAATATTTCATCAAAAAAGAAAATCTATAGTAAAACAGAGAAACAGTTTGTAAGACATGAATCAAGAATTTCGTTTTACCCTTTTCAGCTCACTTGAACTTGAGCTGAAAGCTCAAGTGAGCTTTTCTGATCACCCGTTTTCCGGCGTCCGTCCGACTGTCTGTCCATCCGCCCGTCCGTCTGTACACTTTCAACTTCTCAAGAACCACTGGGTCAATTTTAACCAAAGGTTGTACAAAGCACCTCCAAGGCCAAGAGGATTCTAAATTTTCAAAAAGATGTACCAAGGTCTATTCCAAGGGGAGATAATCAAGAAAATGTAAAAAAAAAAAATAATAATAAAAATAGGGTGGGGTCATTAAAAAAAAAACTCTCGAGAATCACTGGTCCAGAATTTAAAGGTGAAATTTATGTGTAAGCTTCATTAGGTAGCGTAAATTCTAAATTGTCTAAATCATTACCCCCGTGTAAAGCATTTTTATGAAATTTATGTGAAAGTTTCATTAGGTAGCGTAAATTCTAAATTGTCTAAAGCATAACCCCCGTGGGTAAAGCATGTCAAAACATGACACCAGGTGAAAAGGCAGGGCTACAATAGGGAATCAAAGCTTTACATTGAAATATATGAGAAAAATCTTTTCCCCAAGAACCATTTGGCCAGGAAAGCTGAAACTTATGTGGAAGCTTTTTGAGGTAGTGTAGTTTCTAAATTGTTTAAATCATGCCCCCTGGGGTAGGATGGGGATCACAATAGGGATTACATAGGGAGAAATCTTGAAAATACTCAGGAACAACAAAGCTATGATTAATTATGTGAATATGATAGCATTTTCATCTCATGTAGATTTATTTTTGCTCATATCGTGACTCCTGTCTATAGGGTGGGCCTGAAAAGACCATAAACATTTTACATACAAATACAGGGAAGAAAATCTGATGCATAATAGTAGGGCCAAAGTGATTCAGGTGAGTGTTGTGGCCCATGGTCCTTTTGTTTTTTAATGGCGTCAAACTTTCTAGCTCGAACGTCATCTAGCAGGTGTCCAATCGAAATCGCTACCAGAATTTATGTGACCCAATATGTCAGTCGATTCATCCTAAAAAGAAAATAGTAACTGTAATAGATCAACTTCTTTGAAAATATTCATAATGAATAAAAGCTTGAAAATAAAATTGCATCAAATGATATATCTACGATTCTGTTGCAATACTCTGTTTATTTTTCACAAGAAAAACGTGATATTTGTTGCAGATGAATTTCTTAAGAAAGGGTGTGTCGAATGACATGAATAACATTTCGGCAGGATATCCATGTAACACAAATAACCCAATTGGCGGTAAAATAATCACATTATATAAACATGAATACTAAAAATGAAAAAGATAGAATTTCAAAACCTCAACCTTATATTCAATAATCAAATTTTATCACAAAAAAGAGGTTATTACAGTAACTGTATTTCTTCATTCTGCCGCATTTTGTATACCACGCCTGATCATAACTCGATCGTAGTCATAACAAAGCAGAGTCATGGTTGTAGTTTACTTGCACTACAACAATGCTCAGACATAGACAATTAGATTAATTATATATATAAATTCATTAAATTCTTCATACCCATACCAAACCATTCTCACAATTTGCTCATGAGCAGCTCACGTGAGGACTAACCAGATTTCCTCACGTGAGTTGCTCATGTGAGTCTCATGTGCAATTTAACATGCAAATTAGGTGAAATGCTCACATGAGCAAGATTCTGCACATGAGCATTTTTTGCTCATGTGAGGAATCATTTTGCTCACCTAGAATATTGCTCACATGAGGCTCATTAGTCTCATGAGGCTAATTAGTCTCATGTGCAACAATTGCTCACTTGAACAAACAACAATAGAATAAAATTTAGATTACAAATATAATATATACATGTATATTTAAAATATGATTTGTCAATAATATTGAATATTTTAAATATTCTTGAGCAACATGTAAATACATGCATAAATGTTCAGTGAACTTCATTTTTCAAACTTAAAATGAAATGAAAATTAAAATTAAATTAAATGAACAACTAGTATATACTACATAGAACACATTTCAGTCTCCGTATTAATCTTAATTATACATGTATAATTAATTAATTATGTACAATACACATTATTGTATAAATTATCAAAAAGTTAAATTTCCAGTAGATTTACACTAGAACATCCAATGTAAATGTCCAGTCAACAGTTTTTGACTGCACTAGATGGATTAAAGTTGTCTCTGGTATGTCAGGCTATGTAGATTTTTTTCCAATTCCTGAATGCATGGCAATCATACTTGGGTGTGAAATAAATATTCCAGCAGTCATAAGAATCATAATCATTTCATCATGTTCCTTTTCCTTGCATTTCCTTTAAATGAGTGCCAACTTCAGAACTCTGTCTATATGTAAGGGGCCGGGGTTAATCTGCAGATCCTTCGATCAGCAACTTTTATCTGCAAAAAATTTGAATTTATAGTTATTATATTTTTCATGGTTCAATTGGTCATGAAAGGCCAGTCAATAAAAAAATCATATGCATCAATATTAAGCAACTTATCTTATTATAGATAAATTATAGATTACTGCACTTAGCTGTTATGTACACTTTGACCTAATCTAACTTACCATATTTATAGTTCTTAAAAGAATCTATAGAGAATTTGCAATACATTAAGGATTTTATGTTTGATCCTATATTCAGAACTACAATTATATAAACATTAATTATATTATGTAATGATGTAAATTCATGTTCATATATTAAACTGTGATTACTGATAACATACTGCATTTCTATCTAAATTAAGTATTAATTAATAATTAACACACAAACATACTATGTTTTATAATTACTTAATCTGAAATGAGAGAGGGATTATAAAGCCCATGCACTTACCTTTTTCTCAGCATTCTTTAGTACCAGCAAATCTTTGAAATTTTCCTAAATATATATCACAGTTCTTTTTCATTGTGGCTGCATGGTCATTCGTAATTGATCTTTAATACTTCCTCATCTCATGGACGTAAGATACATTTGTAACTCTTAAAATGTTGACATCCAGTTCAGTATGGTGATGACATGTATTTCCCAAAGCATATTTCAATTCTTTACTGTATAAATCTACCGGTATATACTTTCATGTCCCTCACAAACATTTTGGATTGAAATTTTGAACTGGTCTGAAAGCGCGCACAAATCCTGACTGGATCCCCTCATTGGATACTGCCCTAGTTTTAAGCAACTGTGGGGGACACAGCAGGTTGTTTAGGTAGAGGAAAGCATTTGCAAATTGATGGGATGAAGATTAGAAGCTCAAGAAATTAAGAAATTCCTGTCTGGCCCCAAACTATTTGTGATGCTATCATCAGGAAGCATTAATAGTTGACACATGGGCAATTGTAATGAAGGCTTGTAAAAGCTTGGACCACATAGAGTGACAAAGTACGTATTGTATTTCCTCACGTGAGCATTTGAAATGCTCACATGAGGAAATGAGACTTGTAATTCTTTGGCTTTGGTTCTACCTGTAATACTGAATTTTGACTGTGTCCAATTTCCTAACCTCTTGCTCACGTGAGAAAACTGAACTTAGAAAAATTACTACCAATGCTATATGTTTATATAAGGCTGCATGTTCATACGTGAGCAAATGACTAGACTTTTGCTCATGAGCATCCAAGTGAGCATTATTTTGCACATGTGTATTTTGGTTAGTATTTTCCTCCCTAACAGAGACTAACAATCTGCACATGAGCAAAATCCAATTCTACCTAAATTGCATACATTTCTTACTAGATTCTCATATGAGTCTCATGAGATGCTCATGAGCATTTGTTAGAATGTTTGGTACGGGAAGTTCTTCAACTGACTGAAAAGAGATGAATTTGATATTCAGCATGAACATGTTTGTTGGTGTCTAGTCAATTCAAACCCTGCTCTGTTCGGACCATATCATAATGCCCCAGAGTGATTGTGACATTTTGCTAAACAAAAAAAAGAACTGCGAACGATAGTATTGTTCTCCCGCCTACCTCCAAGTCAATTTTCAAAAGTTAAAATATTCAAATGATTTTTAATATTTATATTGATATTTATATGGATTTTCATAAAACATTACTTCTTTGGGAAAACAACGAGAGATAACTCTAAAATTTTGGTAAAACTCGTGTTTTTCACTATAGAAATCAACGGAAAACGGAAAATATTCTTAAAACATCTTCCCCCCCCCCCCTGTGAAACAAAAATTCCTTTTTACGGGTAATATGGACTGTCATTTCACAAATTCATACCAAAGCTTTTTGTGTTTCACGGGGGGGAACATATGTTTATATACAAAAAACGACAAAAATGCTTATTTTTTTTTTAGCAATTTCCAAGTGCTTTACAACTGAAACATTATATTTTACTAATATATATGCTTAAGTACAGGTCCACGTAAGAATCAGGCAAAATCAAATTTTCGTGATAAGTCAGTGTTTGAGAATTGACTTGAAACTTCACATGGTTATGCATCAGGACATATATATTACATATGTTCAAT